GTGGGTGAGTGAGTGAGTGAGTGGGTGAGTGAGTGAGTGGGTGAGTGGGTGAGTGAGTGAGTGAGTGAGTGAGTGAGTGAGTGAGTGGGTGAGTGGGTGGGTGAGTGAGTGAGTGGGCGGGTGAGTGGGTGAGTGGGTGGGTGAGTGAGTGGGTGGGTGGGTGGGTGACTGAATGATTGAGTGAATGAGTGAGTGAGTGGGTGAGAATGAGAGAGTGAGTGGTTGAGAGTGAGTGAGAGAGTGGGTGAGTGGGTGAGTGAGTAGGTGACTGAATGAGTGAGTGAGTGAATGAGTGAATGAATGGGAGAGAGCAAGAGAGTGAATGGGTGAGTGAGTGAGTGAGAGAGTGAATGGATGAGTGAGTGAGTGAGTGAGTGAATGTGAGTGAGAGAGTGAGTGGGTGAGTGTGAGTGAGAGGGAATGGGTGAGTGGGTGGGTGAGTGGGTGGGTGAGTGGGTGAGTGAGTGGATGAGAGAGTGAATGAGTGAGTGGGTGAGTGAGTGGATGGGAGAGTGAGTGAGAGGGTGAATGGGTGAGTTAGTGAGTGAGTGAATGGGTGACTGAGTGAGTGAGTGAATAGGTGAGTGAGTGAATGGGTGAGAGTGAGAGAGTGAGTAGATGAGTTAGTGAGTGAATGGGTGAGTGAGTGAGTGAATGGGTGAGTGTGAGTGAGTGTGTAAATAGGTGATTGAACAAACAAGGAGTGGACACAGGTCACCACAGAACGTGCTGGAGCCCCCCAACCCTGGGCGGGGACAAGCCCACGAGCACCCTGCCGTCTGAACCCTCCTGCTCCCCTTCCCCAGCCTCTCGATCTGGGGCCCAACCCCTRGGTGAATGGGGAGAGGCGGAGAAGCCAGATCACGTGGCTGGACTGGGATTATTCAAACAAACAAAATGAAACACGTAAGTAAGCCAACGCTGCACTAAAAGTGAACTTCAAAACAAACCACTAGAGAGCCCAGCTCCAGGTGGGTACCTGCTGCGTCACGTCCCACGTGACAAGAGACCCACCTGCTGCCCCGCTGCCCAGCCCAGCTCCTCCACTGCTGCTGCCAAGCTGCCTGGGAGGATCTGGCAGAGACCCCTCCCCTGAGGGCACTGGGTGATGTCCCTGGGCAGTGGCCACCACGCCCACTGGAGCCTGAGGGTCCCACGGGGGGGAGAGAGCTCCACAGCGGGTGCAGACAGGCCAGCAGGACCTTTGGGACACACCCAGAGCTCATGCCAGACACAGGGACGGGAGAGAGGGACACAGTCAGTGGGACCTGCCACACGGACCCCAGGGTGGCCTCACTTTCCCAGAAAGCCAGCACCTGCCCGGCCCGCAGTAGGGGGTTGGCCCTGGCCCCATCTGCCTCCACCCCTGACCTTGGTTGGTCACTCCAGACAGTGAAAAGCCACCTTCCCCAGACCCAGCAGGGGGCCCAGGGGACACCAGTGGCCAGCACTGCCCTGCACACCTAGCTGGGCCTGGACAGCACACCCCGCTTCCTCTGCCACCCTGCTTCTGCCCCAGGGCCGTCACCAGTGCCYGGTGTTCCTCCAGGCAGAGACGGTCAGGCGTGATCAGAGAGCCAGAGAGAAGTGCCCTCGACTGTCCACCAGGCTGGGACCCCGCCCCCTGGCTCAGGGGAGCAGGCCAGTGTCCCACCCTGTCCCGTCCCCTGGAGTCAGCCACTGCTCCCTCCTTCCTTTGCTCATGTCCTGGACGGTGACTCACTTCCCTCCTGGAAAACACCCCGTCCCTTCCCTTCCCTTGATCCAGCTGGCGCTGGGCTCAGGACCAGTGGCTGTGTCCCCAGGAGGGGACTCAAGAAACCCAGGAGCCACGGCCCGCGAACCTTCACCTCCCAGCCACGCCACCACCTCCCAGAAGAGGGGGCTGCCTCCTCACCCAGTCAGCTTCACCTGCCAGGGCACCTGCCCCACACCCACTGCCTGTCCCCTGTCCCCAAGCCAGCAGGCCAGGAACCCTTCCCACATGGTCCTGTGGCCAGTCCTACAGCCACAAGCCGCATCCTTTCACAAACCAGGCTTCAGAGCCGCGGGTCTCAGAGGACGCCATCCTGGGCCCGGCCTGCTCTCAGCCCCAGCCACCCGTCCTCATGTCCCAGGTTGCACAGCACCTGAGCCACGCTGGACGCACGGGGCTGCCCACACCTGTGCCACAGCCACAGCCCTCCCTGGCCATGCTCCTGCCCGCTGCAGTGCTGAGAGTCGCTGCTCCGTTTTCCTCTGTCACCTCCCTTTAACAGCCCACGGCAAGTCGAGCTGCCGGACCAGTGACCCCGGTGCCTCTGGCATTGCTGTGGGGCGTTGTACCCAGTTCAGAAGACCCCGGGGCCAAAGCCGGGAGGGCACCCGCCAGACAGGCCTCTGCTGGGCAGCAGGTGCAGAGGGACAAGCACACTCACCTGAGAGGCAGCCCTCCTGACCCGGCTGCTGGCTCCATCCCGGGCAGCACCGGAACACCGTGCGGGCCTCCGCGGCATACACCTGCCTGTAGCCTGTGTAGTAGACGGTTCTGGAAAAGAAGGAAGGACACATTGGCCACTGCGGAGCAGCACACCGTGGCTCCCTCCACACCCGGGAGACTGGCTCCCATGTGGCCCAGGTGGGGTGGCTGCTGCCTACACCCATGTGCCCCTGCGGCCGGGTCAGGGTGCAGCGTGCAGGAGGAGCCATGCAGAGCCAACAGCAGTCTCAGCCTGCACTCTTCCTGCCCCGTGCTACCCCACTCCCTCTGCCCGGCCCCCAACTCCCACGGTGGGCCTGCTCCAAGCTGGGGTCGGGTTCCCACCTGGCCCACGCCCCGGTCTCAGCTCCGGCCAGGCTGGGAGGACTGGGGGATTCAGAGTGGAGGCGCCCAGCCTCGGGGGGATGGCTTTTGGAGTAAGCTTCATGCCTGAGGGGCCCAGGGCTGGGTGGCTGGTCCAAGGTGGTACCAGGCGTCCTTCCTGAGGGGTGACCCTGCTCTTGGCCCTCCCCCCACCCAAACAGCCTCTAGCTGCAGTCAGCAAGGCCCCTCCCAGGCCATCTGCCCCGTCCACTCCAATGCCGCCTCTTGCTGCTTGTACTGGRTTGAACAGTGTTCCCCAAACTCACGTCCACCTGGAACAGGGCTTGATCCAGAAATAAGGTCTTTGCTTAACCCTTACTTAGTTAAGATGAGGCCGTACTGATTGGAATGGACCCTAACCTCCTGGTGTCCTTATGAACACACAGGGAGAAGCCGTGTGAAGTAGAGGCTGTGATCCAGGGACACTTCTGCGAGGCCAGCAGCCGCCACCCGAGAACTGCAACAGGCTAGGGCAGGGGCCCCTCCGTCTCTCCAGGGGCAACCAGCCCTGCCCACACCTGGCCGGGACAGCGAGAGGACAAATTCCTGGTGCTTGAAGCCACCTGGTTTGTCATGGCTTGTTGTAGGAGCCCCAGGAAACACAGGGGCTCAGAGCTTGGCACACACCCCGGGTCCTGTGGCTGAGACGCCTTTGTGCTCACAGTGACGGAACCGGGCCGGAGAGACAGACAGAGAGATAGGTACAGAGAGACTGAGAGACAGGAAAGTGGCCAAGGAGGGACGATGGGAGGCCCAGCCCAGCACAGCCTCCAGCACAGCAATCCCTCCAGTCCCCCACCATCCACAGGGATGGCATCCAGGGGCCAGCCAACAGCCACTGTGTTGGGGCCCTCGAGCCTCTGGGAACGGCCAGGCAGCCTGAGTTGTCGCCTCCAAGTGACAGACCACCTCCTTGCTGGGGCTGGCGCATGGGAAGCAGAGTTGGCCCAGGCCCCAGGCCCAACAAACAAACAGGGCGGGGGCCACTTCCCGGACGCACACGTCCACGCCAGGCACTGCACTCGGAGGTGCTGGGAGCGCCTTGCACCACACCTTGGCCCAACATGAAACCACTCGCCTGCGCAAACCCACCSGCGGCAAACGACAGGGAGCAGAGCCCGGGCGCAGGCCTCGCAGTGTAAACAGCATGGCTTCCGCAGGGCCAGGGCACGAGCTGCTCTTCCCGGCCACGGGTCATCCCATCCCACGGCCCCTAAAGGAAGGACCCTGGGAGAGGAACCGTCAGCCCCTGAGGACTGATCCCCGTTCCCCTGCAGCCAGTGCCACCGGGAGCTGATTCCCACAGGCTGGGGTCAGGGACGAGGCTGCTGGGAGGGAGGCCCAGTGGAGCCACAGCTGCAGGGTCTGGGCCTGGCAGGAGCAGGGCCAGCTCCGTGCTGAGGGCCACGGGTCGCCCTCCTTCCTCTGGAGGACCTCGCTCCTCTCTCGCGGCTTCATGCAGCCTGAGCGGCCGGCGCTGGCTCTCGGGTTTGCTGGGGAAGGCCCTGTACGCTGGCGGGAGGCCAGGTGYCAGCGCAGCCTTACCTGTTCTGGGCCAGGCCAGGCGCCCTGTCACCCACACGGCCCTGCCCGCAGCCAGGCACAGACAGCCCAGACCCAGACACAAAGCCAACTCCTGCCAGAGGGTGCAGGAGCCACCAGGTAGCAGGCACTCAGGAGCCTGTGTGTGGCCCATGATCCTGACCCCAGCTCAACCAGACGGGGAAACTGCGGCCCCCACGGCCCTGAACCTGGCCTAAGCACGTGGACACAGAGTCTGTCCTATGACCCCTGGCCCTGGTGGCCACCCCCAAAGAGCTGGAGGAGATGCCCTTGTCTGTCCAGGGAAGCTGGGGTGCAGCTGGTGTGGGGGGGACACTGCTGGCCCTCACATCCGCTCAGCCCCTTTGCAACCTGCTCAACAAACCCGGGAATTCTCTGCACAGAACTGTCAGAGCGAGGAGGGCTAGAGGCCAGGCCGCAGGGGCAGGGACCTGGGGCCCGACAGGTGGTGGCCGTCACCCGCAGGCAGAGCCCACACCTGGGGCCCGTTGGCCTCACAGTGTCTGTAGCACAGTCACCTGTCACTGGCTCGTCCAGTGGCCAACGGGAGCAGCCTGACAAGCATCCCTGGCCCAGGCATGAGGACATGGGGCAGCAGAGCCAAGTCCCCAGGCTGAGGGACATGCGTGGCGCTTGCCTGCCGACACCAAGGCCAGGCGAGGTCCCCGTCTCCTGGTCCCAGCTGAGGGAAGCGCCTGCCAGGCCAGGCCAAACCAGGCCCAGAGGTGCTCCTAGAGCTGGGGCCGGACTGAGGCCAGCTCTGCTGCCCACCATGGCCAGGCCTCCCTGCTGGGCTTTCATCATACTCCCCACCCTGCTGCTCTGGGCCCCCGGCAGCCTTCAAGCCTTAGTGACCCCCAAGAGAGATGCGGGGACAAGAAGAGTCCGCTGGTCCCCCAGAGGTGGAGGAGGGCTCCACAGAGGGCACCTCGGAGTGGGCTTTGGAGGATGGGTAGGAGTGCAGCAGACTGCAGGCCTCGTTGCCAGTGCTCGGCGCGGAGCCAGGGCCTCAGGCTAAAGCTTCAGCCCTGCCACTGACTCCCGGGAAGCCACAGCCCAGCGCCCAAACCCCTGGGCACCGGTTTCCCCAGGTCAAAGCGCTTGCTGCCTGCCTTTTAGGGTCTGAAGAAACGCAGCCTGGCTGTCCTGGATGCCCACACAGCGGTCCAGGGAGCAGATGACACAGTGGGTCCCCCCAGCCAGCTGTGGGGACAGCTCCTGCCCTCTCCCTGCCGCAGACACTCGGCTTCCCTGCCCTGCTCTGTGCCCAGCAGCTGGGAAGGCCACTCCAGGGCACCTCCGATCCGCGCCTGTGGCATGAGGTGCTGTCCCCCACGTGTGGGTCAGCTCAAGAGCTGAAACAGCAAGTAGGGCGGGGAGGGTGACGAAGCCCACAGCCCGCACTGGCTCCTGTCAGCCCACTCAGCGCCCACACTGCTCAGGGACCCACCCAGGGCCCCCCCAGCCCGGGCTGCGGGGCCAGAGGCCCACCCTGCCTCCGAGCCCTCCTCCAAGCCCAGCCCCCCTCCAGGCCGGGGACCTCCTTCCCGCCCTCCCCAGGACTAGCCGTGGCTCTCCACATGCAGCATGTGCTGTCCCCACAGAAGCAGGAGGGATGGCCGAGTGCCACCTGGGACACTGCAGCCATGACCAGCTCCTGGTCATGTGACTGTCTTTAGGCCCAGGACTCAGGGGCACCAGACAAGGCCTGAGGGCTCCAGTCAGGGACAGGAACTCTGGTACCATTGCAAGGAGGAGTGGCATCCACGGAGGCGACTCACTGGACTGGACTGGGCAGATGGGGAGAAGAGCATGGGGTCAGGCCAGCTCCCGGGGAAGGGTAAGCAGGAAGGTGTAGCAGACAGACCTCTCAGCTCCACCACCTGGGCTGGAAAGGCATGGACAGGCGTGGACAGGCATGTGGAGACATGGCCTGCAACTCGGCCCAGCTGTGCCCAGTTCCCAGAGGTTGGGAAGGGACACCAGAGGGGAAGAGAGACTGCGCATTCCACGCACACTGAACTGGGGCAAGCCTGGCCACCACAGCCAGGGGTGACATGCCTGTAGGCCAGGCAGAACACTGTCCCCATGGCACCGAGGCCCTGGGAGCACTCAGGCTACCCGGAGTGGGCGTGGAGCAAAGGCAGACCTGAGCCACATTCCAGAGCCAGCCAGACTGGACAGCTGCCCTGCCCCCTGTGACCCAGAGCCCAGACTGCTCCCACTGAACCCCATGGCAGAACTGCCACATTCCTGGGAGGGAGGGCTGGAGAAGGGTCCGGGCATCTTGAGCTGAACCGTGCCAGGGCCGGAGTCCTGGAGCCAGACCTGCACAGGCCCCAGCCGCCCGGGAACCCTGACAGCATGGCCCAAGCACAAGCCCGGCAGGGAGGCTGTGGACGCATCAGCACTGACCCAGATGGTAAGTCCTCCAGATTCTGGGGCTTCCTGGTCACCTTGCCCACCCAGCCACCTTGGAAACACTGCACCCTGCGTCCAGCCACAACAGGCCACAGCGGGGAAGTCACAGAGGCTCCTCCAACTGGCCACCCACCACAGGAACCACCCTCCCCAAGGTGAGGATGGGGACCCGCGTCTAGGCTACCGAATCCCTGTTTCTACCGCACACCCTGGAAGCCACAGGGAGCAGCCCCTGGAGAGCCATGAGGAATCTGTCCTTCCTGCCCAGGCCATTCCTGCTGGATGCACAGCTCCTGTCCCCCAGCCCACCTCCCAGCACCAAACCTGTCTCCAGGCACTGCGGGGTAGGGGACGACAAAATGGTCCCAGGTGAGAAGCGGCCACACTCAACCACACTCCTCCTCCTTCACTCGGCAGATGATGAACTAACTGTCCAGCCAACAGACCTTCACTCGCCGCCCCCGAGCAGGCCGAGCAGACATGGAGCCACCACCCTGCACCCCAGGAGGGCAGCCCAGGGCAGGGCCAGGACCCCTGGAGCCCTGTCTGAGCACCCCTCCTCCCAGGACCCCTCCTTCCTCCACCCACTGGGGGCCACAGCCAGGCCCCCGCCCAGTCTGCACCCAGGCAGGTTCCACGGTGCTGAGTCTGTAAACAGGAGAGGCATAAAAAAGAACTCCTTGAGCTTGATTTTGAAATAAAATATTGAGCAATGAAAGGTTTCACGTGGGCTTGGGAAGAGGCCCAAGGGTCAGGCAGCCATGGCCTCCAGCCGGAACTCAGCAGGTGAGCTCAGGCTCTCTGCCGGGTGTGCCCAGCACCCCTCCCTGGTGGGGCCCCACACCTCTCCACAGAGCTGTCACTTGGAGCCTCCCTGGCACTCTGTCCTCAGAGGGGGCATCCGGTGGCCCTGATGGGCACAGCCCCAGTCCCCACGGCCCAGCTCCTGCCCACAGCCCCAGGGGCCCAGCACCTACCTGCGCTCGTGGCCAATGCACCAAGCCTGCCGCCCACAGCCCGGCTTCCACACGGACACCAGGCGACTGAGGGCCTTCACACAGGGCTGGCGGTGGCCCACCAGGGTCAGCTCCTGCTGGGCACACACATGGGGCCTGGGACAGAGAACAGGGACAGTCAGCATCTCACCACCCACCACTGGTTGGCACAGACATCTCCGGCACGTGGCCCTGGGAGGCCAGGCCTCCAGAGCACAGCCCTCCCAGTGCCCACCCAGGCTCGAGGGTGAGGGGGGTTCGAAGAGGAACCAGGACCAAGTGTCCCCACACAGGGACCACACACTGCCCGAGGTGCTGCCTGATCCCCCAGGAGCCAGGCCAGGAAGACCCCACACCACTTCCAGATGGGGGGTGGGGGAGGACACAGGGCCCGCCCAGCCCCCAGGATGGCTCAGTCCTCCCGCTCAGAGTTTCTGTTCCTTCCACCCGGCCCTCCCGGCCCCATCCCTGTGGTCTCAGTCACTCCCAGCACCCTCTGAGCCCTGCGGGTTGTTGGCACAGTGAGAAGGGCATCCCCTCCGAGGAGCAGGAAATGGAAAAGTAGAGCCATGGTCCCCACCCCTGCCGAGACCCAGAGGACTCCCCTTTCTGCAGGTCCCCACCCCAGGGACTGCAGAAACCAGGCCAGGGAAAAGCCAGCGCTGGGGGCGGTCAGTGTAAGACAAACCCCCATGCCCATCAGGCTGTGAGGTGGGGAAAGGTCAGTGGAGGGACACCCCAAGCAAGTCAGCAAGGCCCTGTCTCAAGGTAAAAAATAAAAAGGGCTGAGGAGGTGGCTCAGTGGTAGAGCATTTGCTTGCACAGGTGAGGCCTGGGTTCAAACCCACCCCCCCTGCACATAATCCATGCCCTCAGGAGGTGGTGGATGCCCAGAGCTTGGGCTCACCCAAGTCAGGTGGCCTCCAAAGACAAGTTTCAGTAGAAGAGGACACGACTTAAGTGCTGACATTGAGTGGGACCAAGTCAGAAGCCAGCAGGATTCTGTGGGACCTTCAGGAAGAGGAGACCAGGCTCTCCCAGCAGGGCCAGGTTCTGGGCTGGATCCCCAACACGAGGGGCAGGGCCTGTGGAGTGGACCACACTGCATGCTACCTGGGGGTACACTGCAGTGAGCCTGGCAAATCCAGCACCTGGGCCCCACCACCGTTTTGGGGTACCAGAGCAGGCAGGAGGCCACTTCTCTCCCAACCTCCTGGCTGAGCTCCCTGCTTTGCAAGGGGACCTAGCCTATCCTTAGCCTGTTTTCAAACCGTCCACCTGGGGAGAAGTTCCTGTTTCCCAGACAGCCCCGACCTTTGTCTGGTCTGCTGGGGGTCCCCAGGCTCAGCCCTGGAAGACCCCGGCTGCCCTGTCCCAGGACCTGGCCCTGGGCCAGCCACCCCCAGATGGATRCTCTTGCAACCGAGGACTTTATTCCTCCTCCTCTTGCTCTCGCTGGGTGGGAAGCCCGCCCCTCAGGGAGCCACACAGCGGCTCTGCTTTGCAGCCAAGATGAAAGCACCGACGAAGCTGGGTCCCCAGCCTGGCCTGGCCACAGCACCAAGGCCGAGGTCCTCCGCCCCCAGCTGACCATCAAAGACTGGTGGCCAGGGCAGAGCCAACCCCAAATCCCCAGTCAAGTCCGCAGGGCCAGGCTGCCCAAGACATCCCATTCACACCCCTCCTGCAGTCTTCCGTGGCAGAAGCCAGCCAGCCCACGTTGGGGTGACTGCAGGGTGAGGATCCTCAAGGTGCAGGACAGGGCAGCCCAGGATCAGGATCCAGGCTCTCCTGTGAGCTCCAGTGGAACCTGCTGCTCCGGCCTCACAGCCTCCACACCCCTGGCTCCCCCAGCCAGGAGCCATGGGCCAGGTGGGACGGATGTCCCCAACACTCCTGGAAGGAGGTAACGGTGGCTCCCGGCATTAATAAGATGTGGAGCCAGGCCTGCTCTGGGGTTCCGTGCCTCTCAGATGACTGCACAGGACGCGGGCCCCAGCTTCCCAGGGGCTGTGGCAGGCCAAGGATCCCAGCCCGAGTTTATGGGGAGAGGGCCAGGCGGGGAGTGAGTCAGGAACGGGGGTCCCCTCATTAGGGAAGGGCTCATCAGCCTTCCTCGGGCTGCGTCCTGGACACAGGGCCCTGAGTCCCCCCAGTCTCAGGCCTGATCCCACCAATGCCAGAGGACCTCACGGCCTACCAGGACCACCCTCTCCCCCTTCACTCTGTGCCCCAGGAGGCGACCTCACAAACTGCACACCCCCCACGTGAACACACGGCCCTCTGGCTGGTGGGTTTGGCTGCTTACAGGACCAGCAGAAGGTGGCTGGGGTGCTGTCCCTCCCCTGGGCAGGGTAGCCTAGGCAGGCCGCCRCCAGGGGCTGCCTCCCCACCCCAGGCCACAGCTCTGCCCTCCAGCCCTCGGCCCCACATCACACCTGGGACGTTTCTCTCCCCCTCATCACTAGGCTCCTCTCACTGACTCCTTCGTGGGGGGCTGCTTCCCACCTCCCTCCCTCTGATAGAGGCATTGTGTCCCCAGATGTCAAAAACAAAAAACAGGCTGTCCTGTGGCTGACCCAAGGTTATAAGTCAGACATCTTAATGGACTTGCTCGTGGTGGAGGACAGAAGTGGTCCACCCATTCACCCTGGCACTGGGCTAAAGTGGTGCAGCTTCATTCAGTGGTTCTCAAAGCAGGGTCCCCAGGCAGGAACCCCACCTCCAGGGAACTTGTCAGAAAGGCACAGCTCAGAAGGTCACCATGGTACACATCTGTAATCCCAGTGATTCAGCAGGCTGAGGCAGGAGGATGGCAAGTTCAAGGCCAGCCTCAGCTACTTAGCACGACCCTGTCTCAAAATAAAAATTTAAAAAGGGCTGGGGATGTGGCTCACTGGCAGAGCATTTGCCTAGCAAGGGTGAGGCCCTGGGTTCAAACCCAGCAACACACACCCCCACTCTCAAGCCTCCCCACGCCTCCCCCAGACCCACTAAAGTGGAGACTCTGGGCCTGGAGCCTGGCGTTCCTCCAGGTCTCAGCAGTGGCTGGTGCTGTGAGGAGCCCAGGGAAGACTGTCGCACACCCAGTGTGAGCCCTGGTCTGGCACCGGAGCCAGCAGAACAGGCTGTGCCGAAGGTGCCATCTGATTCCCGGCTCCCTATGCACCTTCTCCAACATGTGCAGGTTCCTGAGCCTCTGCCCAGTTTCCCCACCTGTTAATGAGGACTCACAGCTCTGACCCCGCCCACTGGGGGGGGTGAAATGAGCCAGGATGGAGGGGACCCCTGATGGCCCCAGGAGTTAGCTGGTGTCCCTGCACACTGGGGACCCCATGTGAGAGGGTCACCGATGCAGGAAAAAGCATCATCTGCCAGCTGATGCTGGCCACTCTGCCCCTCAGCTCTGCTCAGCTGCACTGCCCCTGGCCACCCATCCTCACCCCAGGGTGGAAGGGCAGGAAGAGGAGGTGGGGCTGGCTAAGGCACAGGACCTCTGAGCGTCAGGCTGCAGAGCTCAACCTGGACTCGGAAGCACCCTCACCTGTGGGACAGTTGAGTCTCAAAAGGGAGCTCAAAACAGCCACCACCTGGGCTGGGGTCGCAGCTCAGCGTGGAGTGCTCACCTAGCATGTGCAGGGCCTGGGTTCAATCTTCAGCCCACATAAAAATAAATAAAATAAAGGTATTGTGCCCAACTACAACTAGATAATAATGATAATTAAAAAAAAAAAAAAAAACCCCACGGCCACCAGAGCCGCTCAAAGCACAGTTCAGCTTTCTGACACCCACAGGTGGCTGAGCACAGCTTCCTGAGAGCCCAGCTAGTGGAACCAGCCCGGGAGAATGCRGGCCAGGTCCAAAAACCTACATGCAGAGGGGACTTGAGCTTGAAGGCCCAAAACTGCTGCAGGACAGAGAGAGGGGTCAACGTCATGAGCTGATCTTAGCAGAGCTGCCCAGAGGGGACTCTAGTCCTGGGGAAGCCTTGTGCCCTGGAGCAGCTGCATTTCCTAGGACGGAGCTCGGACCTCAAGTCTGGCCAGCGCTGCAGCATGTGGGTCATTGGCCTTCCCACCCGATACCCTGCTCCCGGTGGCAGCATCACCATCCCCTYGTGTGGTCAGCAATTGCTCCAGGGCCCAGGAAAGAAAGGCCAGCCATTCTCCCTGGGCCACAGAAACTCACTCAGAGGCAAAAACAAGCAGACTGGTAAGTTCTGCCCACTCCTGGGAGGGCTCCAAATAGGACCACCTGGACAGGGGGAGCCAGAGAAAGAGAACCATCCACATTGCCCCAGCAGATTCACAAATGTCCAGGGGCACCTGGGGCTGGTCAGTGGAGCAGCCCATGACTTTTAGCACTCACCTTGGGAGCCCTGGGCAGCAGGTCACAGAACTGATTAAATGGAGGAGCTGACAGACCAGGAAAACCAGGCAGAGGGCACAGCTGCCTGGGCCAGAGCCTCCCAGCTCCCAGGAGCTCTCCGAGGGGAAGGATGACAGGGGACACAGGACCAGCACTTTCTTGCTTGTCCAGCGCCTCCCCTGCTCCTCTAAGGGAGAGAGCAAAGTGCCTGCARTCTACAGGTTTCCACTTCCTTCTGCTCAGCAGATCAAACGACTYCTCTCCCAGCCAAGAGAGAAACCTCCTCTGTCCTAATCGGAGCTCCCCCAGCCAGCCAGGACCCACTGCAGCCCTACTGTGCATCCAGGCACATGCAGGTGGCGAGGTGACAGAAGGCCTGTGGCAGACACACAGCCACCTCAGCCAACCTGGAACTCAGACCCACCTGCAAGGGGCAATTTGCGAACAAAGGCCTTATCTTATGGAGACAGGGCCAGGAAACAGTGGACAAAGGCCCCCAGGGTAGCAGCCACAGGATTGAAGAGCAGGGAGAAGCAATGGGAGGGGAGGATCTGGAAGGAACCACAGCTCTTCCCAGCCTGGCTCCTGGCTTCCCAGAGGCCAGGTGAGCAAGTAGGACACAGGAAAGACCCCTGCTSCACTCCTGGAGAGAACAGCAAGTTTGGGCAAGTTGGATGGGGACCCAGAAAGGCAGGCAGCCAGCAGTTTTCGTGAGTGCAGCAGGGGCAGAAGCCTCTCTCAAGAGCAGGAAACGTCCACCATTGAGCTGCTGCCCCCAGGATCAGAGCCCCACGTCTTCTGGCAGCCATAGGAGAAGCAGGCAGTCAAGTGGCCCGAAGCCTGTGTGCTAGCCCCTTGTGGGGCTGCAGCTCCCCTTGGACAAAGGCACGGGGACCACAGGAAGCAGAAGTGTCCAGCACAAGTCCCCTGGAGCTGAGGCGCAGGCCTTTCAGTTTCTGGATGAAAGGTCCCCAACACAGAGGAGGCCCTCTGTGGAAGAGACCACAGGAAATCTTGCTTCTTGGAGCCAAGCAAGACCCAGAGTAGAGGCCCTGGGGGAAGGAATCTGCCTGCCTCCCCCCAGTGTGGAACCCTGTCCACTCCATCCCCAGGGGCCRCCTCTCTATCCTCCACAGCCAGGTACATAGAGGGGCCCAGCGCCAGGCCCTCTTCCAGAAGGCTGGATGGGAGGAGCCTGAGAAGCCCCTTTGTGGCCCCTGAAGGGGGTTTCGGGGTGGCGGCTGGGAGGCCCCAACGTGAGCTGAGCCCAGGCCCTGGCCAGCCCCTCTGCARCTGGCAAAGGCCTTGCCAGGTTGGCCGCCCCAAGCCCAGGCACCCTGCAGSGAGCGCTGGAGTAGGGGGCAGCCAACAGGCTCTCCCCACCTCCTCCTCCTCCACTTTCCTTTGAGGCCAACACAGGGATTGCTTTGCTGTTTAAGAGAGACCGCTAAATGGCCCGTTGGGGAATCATCTTTCAAAATTAAATTCATCTCGGCTGGCTCCCTGACCCTCTCTTCCTGCCCGTTCTGGTACTGAATTCCTTCTCCCTGCAGCTCCAAAGCACACGTGTTTAACACACAAACCAGCTCTGCAGCCCCGTCTGGGTACACCCGCCCCTGCGAAGGCCCCCAGACCCCAGGAGACAGGCTTTGGAGGAAGTGGGAGCAGGCCGCTTCCTCTACCGTCCCAGCCGGCTCCCAGGCTAGACCCTGCCGGGCAGGGGGCCCGGATTCCTCACCTCCCTCCCCAGCTCAGCATCTGCCTGAGCAGGCAGGACGCACATCACAGAGGCCGTGAGGGAGGAGGCACAGGCCTGCCACAGGGGCTCCCAGACCCCACCGGGAACCCTGTCCCCAGTTAAGGCAAAGAGCCCATTGTTCTGGGGCCCCGGGACAAAGCCCAGGAGCTCGGTCCCGGTTTCCGACGCCCCGGGGAGCCTCTCCTGCTCCCGCGACTCACATGCTGGGCTGCAGCGGGAGCAGGGGTCGCAGCGGGGCAGTCGCACGCACCGCGGAGAGCAGCAGCAGCAGCAGCAGCGCCGGGGCCACCGCGCGCCCCGTCRCCCTCGGGGTCGCCCTCGCCTCCGCTGGGAAAGGCATAGTGCGCGCGGCCAAGCCCCCGGCGCTTCTCGGGTCCGAGGCTCACAGACCGGCCCTGCGGCCCGGAGCCGCCGTCTCCGCGTGCGCCATGCCGGGGAGAGTGCGCGGGGCGCAGCACAGGTGCCCAGGAGCCGGCTTCCCGCCCGCGCCCGAAGGGCCGTGCGGAGACCAGTTCACCCAGGTCCAGCCGGCCACTCGCTCCCTGTGAGCGGTGGGCAGACTGCGCCCAGCCGGGCGCGGGAGAGGCCCGCCCCGCCCGCGACACGCCCCGGGCCCGGCCGACCCCAGCCCCGGCCCCGCCCACAGCCCTGCCCCCACCCGCCCAGGACGCGCCCCAGACCTAGGCCCCGCCCCACACGCCCTCGGCCCCGCCCAGGGCTCCTCTTCCAGCGGCTCCCCTACCCCTGGCCCGCCGGCAGACCGCCCTTCCCCGCGTCCCCCAGACTCCCACCCCGCAAGCAGAGCCCCGTCGCGCTTCTGCTTATCTCAGGCTGAAAGTCCCAGGCCTGGTCCCACCTAGAGCCAACCCCCGCGCCCCGCAGAGAACAAGAGAGGCACGCCTCGCACACCCTGCAGAAACAGGTCTCTACGGACCCCTGGCCCCAGACCCCGGACTCCGGGGACAGCCCTCAGCCTCCGCTTCCTTCTCAAGATTCCCAGGGAAAGCAGCCTCAGTTTGTCCTCCTCGTGGACCCTCCGTCCAGCCCTGGCATCTCATCCATGCTGGTCCTGCTTGGGGAAGAAGTTGGGGATTGGGTGGGCAGCCTCTGCAGCCCCCCGGGTACCTCCTACATTGTTGGTCAACCACTCCACGCATCTTTATTCGTGTTTCTGTGCAGAGTACTCTTGGAGGTGGCGGCCGAGGCCCAGAGGCACCGCCGAGGACAGAGCCCTTCCGTSATCTGCTTTTCTTCTTTTACCCCCGGTTTTGGTTTGGAAGTGACCGGCTCCAGTGCAAGGACCAGCTGTCCCAAGGGTTGAAATCGGAGGCCCTGGGGTTAGTGAGGGCCAGCCTCTCCCAGCGGTTTTTGAATAGCCTGGGGAGGTCCAGTCTGGACAGGATCTGGTGGAGCCAAGAGTGAGTGTCACACCCAGGTGTGTGAGGGCCAATGTGCCAGGCCCAGCTGGTGCATCTGAGGCACCCTGCTGGCAGGCCCTCTGCCTGGGACCTCCTCCTCCCACACCCCCGGTGGTCTGAGTAAGAAGAACCCTGAAGGCTCCAGAATCCCCCTCCCCTAACAGCCAGCTCTGAAGAGAGCCCCTGGAGGGGCTTGGGAGACAGAGAATCACAGCTGTCCAGAAGCAATGGAGACACAGGCACGCGTGCATACACACACACACACACACACACACACACACACGCCGAATCTGAGCCCTTCCCACCACCTGGAGGGGCACATCTGTCAGGTCAGCCCAGCAGTAACTCCTGCTCTACACTTGGGAACCTCAGGTCAAAGGAAAGGAGGAGGCAGCCCTGCCCCTGGCTTCTGGCTGCCGGTCTGGGAACTGAACCCTGGGAACATGGGGGTCTGGCTCCAGGACATTGGCCAGCCCCATGCTCTGCTGCCTGAAAGTCAGAAAAAAACACTGAAGGCACAGAATAGATGGCAGGCAGTTCACTGGACTCTGGATCTCAAACACGGGTTGGCAGCTCCGCTTGCTGATCCTCCAAACAGGACCCATTCTGCCCCATCCTGCCCTCGATCTCACCCCTCCACCCTGGGATCTCGGTAGTAGCAGCTGTCCCAAGCCTGGTTGGCCCATGCCCCAGCTCAGGAACCGTTTCCTCCTGATCTACCCTCACAGAGACCGGGGTCTGCCTTCAGGAAAACCTCCCCAGTGCCCACCTCAGCACCCCGCCCCATCCTGTGGGTATAGACACAAGTTAGTTCAGTGTCTCTCTAACTTTGGAACAGTGTGATAGGACCATCCATTTTTTCCCACCTTGTTTGAGGGGAGGGGTACTAAGGATTGAACCCCGGGCCACTCTTCAACTGAGCTGCATCCCCAGGCCTTTTCATTGTAAGAAAGGGTCTTGCTAAATGGCCAAGGCTAGGACTCTCTTGCCTCAGCCTCCAGAGTCACTGAGATTACAGACGTGTGCCACCACACCCAGCTATTTTTCCCAACTTTKCATCTCATCCTCTCTCTGGAGCTGGCTTGGCACAAAGGGATGGCCAGTAAGGGTGTGTGAGTGGACAGATCAGCACCTTGGAAAAGTTCAGGGATGCTCTCTGAATTGCACCCTGCCCCCAGGGCAGAGATGACTCACAGCCTCAGACGTGTCTCCAGCTTATCGGAGGAGGAAGGAAAGAATGTGGACAGATTCTGGGTTAGAAGGAGATCTCTGGGCAGGGCAGGATCCAGGTTTTATGGGGCTTACAACATAAAATTTAGAGACTCTCTTGAAGCAGAGTCATAAAAAGAAGTTATTTTTGTCAATTTTACAAAGCCACAACCACCCCCTGCATGAATTCCTAGCCCTCCCCTCCCAGGGTGAAAGAGCTACTGCAGCGAAGCTTTCTTGACCTCACTGTGATTCTGCCTCTATCCACTCTCATCAGCTGTCAGGTGGACAGTCCCCAGCAGGTGTCAGGACAGAAAGGACAGGTGCTTCCTGCTGGGAGTCCCTGGTTCAGGACACCTGCTGTCACCTGCTCCCAAGGCACCCGTGGCTGCGGTCTGCCCACTGTCCCCAGGCGGAGCCCTCCTTCTCAGGCCCAGAGGTGGACTGGTGAACCTCCAGCCTAGAGCTCACTTCTCCAAACAAGACTGGTGCAGAAGGAAGGCCCAGTGCTATTCTTTCCCTAAGTCTCATGCCCTTTACCCAGATCCTGGCTCCCCWGCCCAGCCTGGCACAGAGGGCATCGGCAACCATCAAACATCCAGCAGCCAAAATTCTCAGGTGCGTCTTTCCTCACAAATGACTGACATGACAACAGACTAACGAAGGTAGCTGGAGTTCATATCTTAAAAGTCAGACTGCACACAGGTGTCTTTTAYTATTTATTTATATTTTGGTACCAGGGTTTGAACCCAGGGGCTCTCAACCACTGAGCCACATCCCCAGCCCTTTTCATTTTTTGAGATAGGGTCTTGGTAAGTTGCTAAGGGCCTCGGTGAGTTGCTGACTCTCCTGTCTCAGCCTCCCGAGCTGCTGAGATTACAGGTATGCCCAACCATACCTGGCTATGAGACCCTTTTAAACAGATTTAACTCACAATAAAGTTCACAGCAATCAAACTAACAAAACGCAGAAAACAGTCTCAAGACTTGGCTCTTCTTCACAATAAAGTGACAGTTCATGGGACACATGATCTTTGGAGTGACTTTTTTCCTTTTTCTTTTTTGGTGCACGTGTGTGTGTGTGTGTGTGTGTGTGTGTGTGTGTGTGCACGCGTGCGCACATGCATGTGTGGTTCTGGGGATGGAACCCAGGTCCCCACAAGGGCTAGGCAAGTGCTCTACCTCTGAGCTACATCCCCAGCCCCCCTTTATTTTTTTGAGACAGGACTTGCTAAGTTGYCTAAACTGTCCTCTAACTTTTGACCCTCCTGCCTTAGCCTCTTGAAGGGATGGTTTCCATATAGTTAATGGTGCTGACGATAGTTTCTAACTGTATGTGCTCAAATGTTGCCTCTATTGCTCAGAAATAGGCACTTAACTCAGAAAGTTCACTGATCTTTATTCTTTTTTACTGACTGAATTCTTGCCCGTGTTGATCTCATGGAATTCACCCTGCTGTCAGCTCTCAGGAGACTCTGACCAGGCCAGGCACCACTGCAGGTCAGCATCTTCTCTCCTGTCTATCCACAAATAGAATCTACTTCTGGGCATTCCCACTGATCCTTATTCCAATCTCAAAGTCTTAAGGGTGTACCCCGTGTCACCAGAGTGAGAGACCGTTGTGATTCTCGTGACAGCTTATGGATACTGGCTTTATGGGACTGCCTGGTGAGAACGGCCCCCTTGCTGTGGCTTTTCCCAAGTTATACTGGTGATTCTTGTCCGTCACACTTCCACATGGATTTTGGAATCTCTTTATCCAGGTCTTTCCGGCTGCCTCGAGACTGAATTGCAATTGCCTTCCYGTGCACTCTAGGAAGGACGGACGTGTGCACCACACCCACACTTCGGGAAAAGCAGCGTGATCAAAGGAAGCAGGGAGGGCAGTGCCCCTGCGGAGAGCAGGGGTATTGAAACCCACCTGTCCCCATGCCCCAGAATCCCACAGGGTCACCCCTGCAGCTCAAGATCTGGCTGGTGGCTCAGCTCAAGTCTGGATTCCCGGACAAACCGCATCCCGAAAGTCTTTRGCAAAACTGCAGCCAAATGTCTGGATTCCACCTTAGAATTTGCTCACTCCATTTACAAGGTACCAGTGGGATTCGCTCCTTACAATCCTGAGGGTTTGTAGGGTATCTGATCCCAAATGTATGGTACACATGCCCAGGCTCAGAATAGGACCCAGCAGCACACACCTCCCTGGCCAGAGGCCTCAACCCTCCCCTTCTTCATCCACCTGGTCACCACACCTAGGGCTGCTCACTGGTCGCCCACAGAGTGGGTCTGGTTTGGAGACTCACTGCAACAGGCACAAGGTGGGACAACCCCTGTTTCATCAGCTGGAGAAGCTCACTGCAGCCTTCCTGGAGACGCTGTTAACGTCACTTCTGTGTGATGTTTTTCTGTTGGAAATAATAAAAATAGGATTTGGCCCAAGGAAAAATACTGTGGGGAGGGAGAAGCATCAAACTTTCAAATTCCAAAGCAAACTGCCCCCCTACTTTCCCAGAGCCGGACCCACCAGCCGCCCCATCCCGAGTCTGACAGGATCCTTCAGGAGTTGAAAGAGAATCCCACAGAGAAACTCAAAACATCCTCCACAGCTGCCGGAACTGRTGTCTCCGCCAACCCAAGAAAACAACCTGGCGTCCTGTCTGAACCTTACCAAGCTCCTCTTGACAGGTAGAAGCACCTGCCAAAGGCGCCTTCAGGTC